GTATTTGTGGCTTCCGCCCAAAAATATTTTGGCAAATTATTTTCACAAAGCATGGTTCTAGCCATTTCTTCTAAAGTTCGATTTTTCCTCTCAACAACTCCATTTTGTTGAGGGGTTCTAGGTGCTGAAAAATTGTGGCTAATACCATTAGAATTACAAAACTCAATAAATCCAAGATTTTCAAATTCAGTTCCATGATCACTTCTAACACTAGTGATAGAGTACCCTTTTTCATTTGGATTATTTTTGAAAATGTGATGAAATTTTCTAATGCTTCATCTTTAGTACTTAAGAATAGAACCCAAGTGTATCTAGAATAGTCATCTACCAAGACAAATGCATATTGTTTTCCTCCCAAGCTAGTAGTTCTAGTTGGCCCAAAAGATCTAAATGGATCAATTGTAATACTCTACTAGTTGATACATCATTAATAGATTTAAAAGAAACTCGTTTTTGTTTTCCTTTAGCACAAGCATCACAGATTTTATCATTATCAAATTTAAGCTTAGGCAACCTCGAACTAAATCACCTTGAATTAGCCGTTGCAAAACACTCATACTAGCATGACCTAGTCTCCTATGCCATAACCAACTATCATGCTCATCCTTAGCAACTAGGCATAAATTAGTCATATCAATAGAATCTAAATGCACCATGTAAATGTTTCCTATTCTATGACCAACAAGCATAATCCGATTAGATGCAATGTCAATGACTTTACAACCATTAATTTCAAATAAGACATTGAATCCTTTATCGCATAATTGACTAATACTCAATAGATTATGCTTTAATCCATTCACATATAAAATATTCTTAATTTGTATGGAAGAGGTATTACCTATTGTACCAATACCTTCAATGTGACCTTTTGAATTGTCTCCAAAAGTCACTTCTCCTCCATTTTTGGCGTTAAGCTCAATGAACCGGCTTTTGTCTCCGGTCATATGTCTTGAGCATCCACTATCAAGGTACCATGAGTTTGAATTTGTTTCCCGTGCCTTGTAGCAATGCTCCTTTCCCTACAAACATAGATTAATTTTTGATTTTTGGTACCCAAATTCTTTTGGGTCCATATTCATTAGTTTCCAAAATCCTAGTCCCTTTAGGTATCCATTTGTGTAGGATATTTTTATCTTTAGTAGTAATGAGTTCTTTAGGAACCCACACACTTCTAATGATTTTTAAAATGTTCACCTTTTTCTAACAAAGTTGGATTTTGAATTTTCACCTTTTTCAAAATGTTTTGTTCCAACTTTATCAAAAGAAGTTTTAAGATCATCAATTTTCTTTTGATGATCATCATTGATCTTTGAAAGTAAATTTTGCAAATCTAAATTTTTCTTTTCAAACTCTTCTAGTTTGATTTGCAAATTTTTGATTTTACTTTCAAGATCGTTGTTGGTTTTGGATATGAGTTTGTTTTCATTTTTCAATTTTGAAACATCATTTTTATATTTTAAAAACAATTTCTCATAATCCGAAGCCAACCCATTGTACTCCTCAAATAACTCATCATAAGATAAATCATCAAAATCGGATGAGTTAGAGGTTACCTTAGAATCTTCCCCGAATGCCATCAAGCACAAGTTTGCTACTTCTTGTTCCTCTTCATCGGAACCTTCTTCATCGCTCCATGTAGCCACATGAGCCTTGTGCTTATTCTTTGATTGACCCTTTTTCTTCAATTGTGGGCAATCATATTTGACATGCCCCGGCTTTTTGCATTCATAGCAAATGATTGGGTCCTTCTCTTTTGGTTCATTTTTGAGGCCTTCATTTCGTTTGAATTTTCTTCCTTGGTAAGGTCTCATCATTTTTCTGAACCGTTTGGCAAACAATGCCATTTCCTCGTCATCATCATCATTAGAATCACTCTCATCTTTTGTGGATTTGAGAGCAACTCCAATGTTTTTCTTCTTCTCCTTCTCCTTTGGTGTCTCTTCAACTTTATCAAGGTCCACCTCATCTTCAAGCATCATCTCATGAGTGAGGAGTGAACCGATAAGTTCTTCAAGAGTTAAGGACGATAGGTCCTTAGACTCGATGATTGCCGTCTTCTTTGATTGCCATGATTTTGGGAGGGAGTAGACTAACTTCCTCACAAGCTTTTCATTTGAGATGATCTCTCCATATGATTTGAGACCATTGACAATCGTTGAAAATCTATCCGTCATAGCTTTGATGTCTTCATTTGGTTTCATCCTGAAATTTTCATAGCTATGCGTTAGAATACTAATTTTTGATTTCTTTACCTCATCTGTACCTTCATGTGTGACTTGAAGTTTGTCCCATATTTCTTTGGCGGTTGTACACGATGAAACTCTTCCGTATTCATCTGGTCCAAGAGCACAAAAAATAATATGGATGGCTTTGGAGTTGAGCTGGAACATTCTCGTCTCTCCTTCACTCCACAACCTTGGATGAGTGAGAGGTTTGATGTATCCTTCTTCTACAGCATTCCATGCTCCCATGTCACTTGCTTGAATGAAGTACATCATTCTATTCTTCCAATAGGCATAGTTAGCTCCATTGAAGAAAGGAGGCTTGTTGACGGGCATCGAATCGAGACCGGAGTTGAAGTTTGAAGTGGAGGCCATTGATGACTTTGTAATCGATGTAACTCTTCCCGGATCGACTCAAGAGGCGATTAAACCTTCAAATGAGTTAGGCTCTGATACCAATCGACAAGGATTTTCGGAAGCTCGAATCGACAACCGGAACGGTTTGTAAAGAGGGGTCGGAACGGTTTTGTGTTTAGGGAGTAAGGAGATTGAAAGATAGAGAATTGCACAGCGATTTATAGTGGTTCGACTTTCTCAATCAAAGTCTACGTCCACTACCTTAGCTCCTCACCAAGGATTTTCCAACAAATTCACTAATTTGTTCTTTCTTTTGAGGATAAAGAGTAACCTTACAAACTCCCTAGTTTTTCCGGGTTAAACTAGAACCTTTCCCTAGCTTTTACACGGGATTAGCTAGAACCTTTCCCCTTTACAAAAGGATAAGAAATGTAAACAAGAAAACCTCTCTAAGGTAGGTGTTTACAAGATTGAGCTCACAAGAACAAAATATTTACAAGAGAAAGATGAAATAAGATTGAAAAACTATTCTCTTGTGTTTGATTGCTTGGATAGTTGTTCTCTTGCTTCTTCAAGTGTCCTTAGCTTGTATTTATAGCTTGGAATGAATTTGAAGTTGTATCTAGCCGTTGGGGATGTTTTGGAGCCGTTTGGGAATGATTTTTCTACTCAAAAAGGCTGCCCAGAATGGGGGGAATCGGTACCCCTTCATAGGGAATCGATACCCCCTTCATAATATTCAAATATTATGACCGTTGGGCTGATGAATAGTGAGGGAATCGGTACCCCCTTGGGGGGAATCGGTTCCCCTTTTACAAACTGGAATTTTTGAGCCTCGGGTTACTGTTCAAACAGTGATTTACTGTTCAAATAGTAATTTACTGTTCAAATAGTAAATTACTATTCATAAAAACATTTTTTTGCTCAATTTTAAATTAAAAGAACTTTGAATTATTTTTGTAAATTTTGAATAAATTCAATTAAGTCCAAAAACATTTTGTAAATTCAATTCAAGTCCAAAAACCATTTTGTAAATTCAATTCAAGTCCAAAAACCATTTTGCCTTAAATTGTTATATCGAAACATAGTTCAACAGGATGGGTCCAGATCGAGCAGCTGAGATGAGAGGTAATGGCTACTGAAGAGGAAACCCTAATCTGGGTTACATTTGGGTCGTTGGATCTCTCCCAGATCCAACGGCTGGGAGCTGTTGGCGGCTGATGGAAAATGAAGAAACCCTAACGGGTTTGGGCCCTGAACAGGCCTCGGGTTAGGTTAAACCAAGGTTTGGGCTTCAGATTATTTTGTGGGCCCAAAACTGTGCTAGGCTTGTTTGGTAGATGGGTTGGTGTTTTGGGGCCTAGTTGGGTCTGTTTGTTGTGATTTGGATCTGTTAAGAAAAAAACAATAATATTAATTAGTAATAATAATATATAAAATGGGACAAAAAACGAGTGTCAATACCGAGTCGAGTAGAACTTTGCTTGATTCAGCTCGTTAAAGTTTTGAGTCGAGCTCGAGTTTGAGTCAAGTCATCCCGAGTCAATCTTTTATCGAATTTTGACTGAGTCGAATTCGAGCTTTTCACGAACTGCTCAACCCATTGAGCGCTCCTATGCTAAACCCAGCCTTTTTTTTTAATCTTTTGTTTTTCTGAAAAGTGCAACCGAGTGGAGAAAAAATGTGCAATAATTCAGTATGTAGGTGGAAACTTGAGATGACAAAGCAAAAATGTGATTGTATTTATTTCCCAACATATGCTTGATGAATCTACCTAACGCAAGTGCATGTCAATTTCTGGTGATCGAGATTGAGATTGAGATTGTCTAAAATCAATGAAGTAAACGATAATGGAAATGAATGGGTGTAGAGCAAGAGATTCCGTTCAACACACATGTAATAATTGATGTTTCCTGCCAACTTAAAAGGGAAACAAAGAGAGGGGGTCTATTCCTATTTCCTTACCAGTAAATCCCTCTATAATACTGTGCGCCAAATTTAAAAAGGTAAAATGCACTCATCAGTCGCATCATTGGAACCCTCCCATCAATGGTAATCCCCCTCTTTGTTTTCCTTTTTGGTACAAACAGAGTACCAAAATAGGATTCATAGTTAGAAGACGAAGCGAAGAATTACAGATGTTAGGATTCGAATTCTACGACCATTGGATGCTACCCGTGTAAGAGTGTTTACAAGCATGATGAAATTAATGAAACCCCGCAAATTTTTTCCAGATCATGGTACCTAATGGGATGGATACGGAAATTCAAAAAATGTTCACTCGAAAAAAAGGATGGAAGAAAATTCAACAAACCTTTTTTTTTTGTCTGCAAAGAACAAAGAAACTCACAATCTAACATATTGTCATGGAAGCAAAAAAAAAAACGACGCCTAAAAAGGAATGGATACCAAGCAAAAGCCTCGAGTCAGCATGGCTCATGAGTTTTCAGAACACTAGTAGAAACACAGAATAAAATACTGAGACTATCAATCACTCCCAGTAGCCATCAGGAACTCACCCTCGCATACCAAGTCACTTCCAACATATGCTTTCCCTTCCATCTTTGCGATTCCAAACCGCTTCTGCAGCTTGGTAAGTGTCATCCTCATAACCAAAGTATCTCCTGCAATGACTGGTTTCCTAAACCTTACTTTGTCAACTCCAGCAAAAAAGAAGTTTTCCCGAGAACCTCCCACTTCGGGTTGCAGCATAACCAGACCTCCAACTTGTGCCATTGCCTGGACGAATCAAATACTTCTGTTACAGCCTATTGTTACTAAAAATGAAATACAGTTTTAGCATTCAGGAAATTAATCATCTAAATACCTAACATTTTTAGCATTTTGATTTTTCAGTTCCCCGCGGCAAGAGAATAACATTTTGATGACCAGGGGTTTGAGGACGGTAATACCAACCAGCCCATGTTTAGGTCACCAAAACATGTGAAGATAGAAAACTGAGAGAAATTGGAGTTAAGTTATCGAATTAAAGATTATGGGCACTACCAGAGCATTCATCTCTTCTCAGGCCTACTGGATTGACATGACATCCAGTTAAGCATTCTGACCATGGAATCAGAGCAAATAATAAAAGGACCACCATTATCGTCTCTATCAGCATGTTTGTTCCATGCACAAAATAGATTCACTAAATGCCATTGTTTTTCCCCTCATATGCACATGTGATTCAAGATAAAGAAAGCTAAAAGGTGAAGTATACCCTAAGCGCTTAAAAATGTGAATTGACGTAAATAAGTAGCACTGAGCAGAGTGGCAGACAATCAAATCAATCCCATTTAATACTGATTTTGAATACACTTTAACCGTATAAACCTCCTGAAATGCATTGATACTACAAATCCATTACTAATTTGGAACTAAACCATTGTAGAAAAGGCCATAAACAATTGATGGGAAACATTATACTCAGTTCCTTTGCATTATCATTCAAGTCAAAGGAGTAGGCACCAAGCACAGCTGGAATAAAACACTGCATTGAGACGGTTACTAATGTAAGTCAAAATTTGCTTGTTTTCTCACTTAATTAGTCAGTAATTTTAACAAGAGGAACACCAATAAGGATTTCTTAGCTAAAATATAACCTATACAAATTCCCAGTAGAATCAACTTCCTTAGAATGGGAAAAAATATATATATCTGGAGATTTTTATGCAAAGACGTCAAAGAAAAAGAGAAAAACAGGTGTTCCTGAGATGAAACCACCATAGAATGTCAAACGATGTAAATGGAAAATAATACTTGGTAGGCAGAAGAGCAAGATATTAAATGAAGAAATGAAGATCTCAAAAGTTGTAAAAATCTAGCAACAATTTTCTGAAAATGCGCAAGAAGTTCAATTAAGCTTGGTTTTCCAAAAGAATGAATTGAATGACAAAAATATGAAAAAATGTTAACAGTACTTATTAGTGCTAACATGCTCTAACCAAGTTCATGTGAACCATCAGTAGCATCTCTATGGTGAAAAAGACTTCACAGCTGATTATCTACCAAATCCATGGTCAAGCCCATGTTTTTACCTCAAACTGCTGCCAAGGCTTCATACACCCATATTTTACCTCAGCAGTAAGATTGTCTACAGCCTTACTCTATTTATGTGATTGAATAATGAGGTATGGCCAAAAAGAAACAAGTCACTATTTATCTACAGAACCATGGAGTATCGTCCAAAAAACAATATAGCAGTACACGCTTGTGGTTTCATGCATGCAGGAAGCAATAGCAATATCTTTGATTATCATTGTTTAGATCTTAATAAATTAATTTATGGAAACTGGATAATCTATGCACCTAATTTTGATGGAAAAGGTATCATCCTTAAGATCAAAACAATAAAAATATCAGAATGCTGAACTGGACATCAAGTAACTAGTGGAAAAGAAACATCATGAAATATGTATAAATGAAAAGAAAAGGAGGGAGAAACATTGCACATTCTGGAAAATCCATATATAGGGAAAAAGTTAGATTATTTTCTAAGAGACATTTACCAATCAATTAATCTTTGATTAGTTAAGCAAAATTGGTACAATGCATCTCAACTAATAAAACCGGACTTGAAGCCAAGTATGATAATTAAGATAATTTTTTACTTGGTAAAACAGCTTAATCAAGTGTTGTGATACACTAACAACAACTGATGGTCTTAACAATTATACTTTAGGTAACCGAGGAGGCTTTCTATTTCCCACGACTTACGTGATCGGAAAGCAGGACTAAACTACCACCTGTTCCCCTCTATTAAATTGATAACAAAAAAGGTTATCAGAAAAAAGTACAAGTTCGTGCATACTGATGAAATCCTACATTTAGTTCCTAACAAAAAATTTAAAAAAAATTAAATGATAAACAAAGTGATTAAATCGGAAAAAGAAAGAGGTACCTCAACCATGAGAACACCAGGCATTATAGGCCTCTCAGGGAAGTGTCCAGGAAAAAAGTTATCATTTATTGTCACATTCTTTATACCAACAGCCGATACCCCCGGATTATATTCTATAATTCTATCCACCAACAAAAATGGGAACCTACAAAGCCAAATAATAAAAAAAACAGAACCCAGTAAACATATATCGGAAACAAGCAAAAGAATGGCTTAGAAAAATAATAAACCAACACAGGAAAAATTTGTTCACCTGTGTGGTAATATCTCCATAATTTTATTAATGTCAATCACACTGGGATAAGCTGGGAACCCTAAGCAATCACGGGAAAAGAGAAACAAACCTAGATTTCATTAAAGAACATAAAGATTTCAAAAGAGTGAAGATTGAGAGTGTAAAAAAACGTACTTGTTTCAATTGGGGCCTCCTTATCTGTGCTGCTGGATGCATCTAAAGAGCAGAGAAGGGGCGAGTTGGAGCGGCGAGAGAGCTTGAGAGAGAGAGAACGAGATCCGGGAAAAAGAAGAGAAGGGGATGGAAGAAACTGGGAATGCCTTCTGGGTTGACTCTGTGAGCCGTGGATGAAAGACAGGATGGAGTTGGAGGCGGCTGCCATTGGTGGAGAGATGAAGAGAAGCAGGTAGCAGCAGCGGAGATTTCGAGTTGAAGTGAGTGGAAACTGGAGAGTGCTTTGGTTAGACCAGGGTGTTTATATAGTGGTAACGTATTCAATGGTCGGCGCCAAACTAAATCAATAAAATAATAATTTTTCCATTATAATCATCGCCGTTACCCAATGTTTTTTCGAACTTTTGGATCCATCCTCTCATCGTAGTAATCGCCATCCTTATAACTACATTATTTTTCCGAATTTTGACACTTTTTAAAGTTCATCTCCTACAAACCTATATTTCCCTATCTTTTTTAATCAACAAACTATTACTGCTTTAAAGTCAATCTATGAGAGATACAATCACATTAAATATCTTGTGAAAGTTTTAGGATAAATTATATCATATACCATTGTATTTTGGACATTGTACCATTAACTTTTTTTGTTTTATTAATTATAATATTAAACTTTAATTTTTATTTCAATTATATTATTAAACATTTAGATCGTAAACGATACGAAAACATGGCTGATGTGTAACACCCCAAAATACGGGTTAGTGACTAAATTGTAAAACTTCAGAATTTGGTGATTAAAGTAGAATAATTAGATAATTCAATGATTTATCTGGAAGGATTGTTAGTAATTATTAAAAGAATTAAAGGGCAAAATGGTCATTTAACCATTAAATGATTAAATTGTATTATGTTGAGGATATATAGGGGGAAAGGGATAAGAAGAATATTTCTTCTTCTCCTCTTTGTTCTTCCATACGAGAGAAAACCACAGCAAAGGTGAGTTTTCTATTTTCTTGGTTATTTGTTGTTTTAAAAGTTGGGTTATGATCACTAGATGATAATTAAGCTTAAGGAAAGCTTAATTTGTTCTAAAACAAAAAGAGGAAGAAGTTATAAGAGATTTAAGAAAACGAGTTTTTATATGAAATCATGGAAAAGAGTTGATAAGTTGAATTTGAAGTTAAATTTGACTTGTCATCATGCTAATTAAGGAATATGAAGTGTTAGAATGGCAATTAGAACATATTGAAATTTGAGTATGATTCTTGAATTACATATGAAGGATATGATTTTGAAGTTATAGATGATTTTCATGGATATAAGTTGGTTTAAGTAATGGTAGTTGAGTTTAATGACATGATAGAGGTTTAAAATAGAAGAATTAAGTGAAGAATTGATGATTTTTGGGGTTAAAATACAATTTCTGGGTAGAGGGAACCGATACCCTATGAATGGGAATCGATTCCCCCTCTTGGACGAAAAATTCCAGAATGTTCAGGGGGTATCGATTCCCCTGGGAGGAATAGATTCCCCCTAAAGGAAAAATGAAATTGGGTTCAATAATTTGGCTTAAGTTGTTAACATCAAGTTTAAGGTTTAGGCTTCTGATAGTTGTTTTGAAATGTTATATTTATGTAGATATTGAGCCTAAACAAGTTCTGGAATAATCAAATGATTAGAATTGATTCAAATCAAACAAGGCTAAGGTGAGTGCAATTTTAATTGTACTTATATTATTGAACGAACATTTGCTTGCGATGAGCCAATGATGGAGTTACTATGGTAAGAAGTGACTCCTAAAATGTTATTTGATATGTGATTCTTATATGTACATGAATACATGATATGCATAAACATAAGAGCATTAAACATAAGATATATGATATGATATACAGGATTATATGCATATGTGATATATGCTATGAGATATATGCTATGAGATATGACCAATGTGAAATGAAATAAGCTATGTGAATATATGAAATGCCATATGAATATGCAATATGTGATATGATATGAAATATATGGTTACACATACATGTGGTATGTGACAGAAGAGAAAGAACAAGTGATGAGAAATATATTCATAATAAATGCCCATAGTATATGATACGAGAGCTATAGGTATAGTTGGCATGCCAAGAGTCGAGGGTATTGTAGTCATTCGGGACGTAGTGGTCCTACGGGACATATATAGCAGTCCTTCAGGACGAATACTGAACAAATGTTCGGTGCCCCATGAGAGAATTTATACGAGCTGTGGTGGCAGCATTAGTGCACAACCTCAATTTACTCACATACCTCTATTCTCAGTAATATACATGGGCAACAACAACAGCAATTGAAATATAAATTAAAGTGAAAATGATGCAAAAAGGTAAGTTTCTTGTGTGCATGACTTGATTATATATGTCATAGGAAATATATCCATGCATATTTAAATATCATGATCAAATGGTAAGAATGCATATTCATGAATCTACTGTTACATGTTTATTTATTGCCTCACTAAGTCTATGACTTAGCGTGTAACTGATTTACACGTAGGTACCAAGAAACGTGAAGAGCAAGAATAGAAGTCGCAAGGACATTATTATTACTAGAAGATCATATCAGAAGTAATCGACAAAGTATGTATTTTGTTGTGTATAGAGTGTTGGCATGTAATAAGTCGTTAATTATGAGCACTCTGATCGAGTTTGTATTTTGTGGACTCTTTTATGTAAATTAAAGTATTTTGTTTTAAACCAAGTTTTAAATTCCCTGGGGGTTTTCTTTAAGTGTCAAGGTTTGAAAAGTCAATGTGACACCTCAGACTTGTATTCGGATTGGGTACGGTTTGGGGTGTTACAATTAATGGCATCAGAGCTAAGGTTTAGTCGATTCTCGACATAAACCGGAGTCTTGAGTGTTTTATAAGGTATACATGCCAACAAAATAGTGAAAACTTCTGATCTGATGGAATAGTAAGTATATTGTTGTGCTAATAGAACTATATGATTGTATTTTTATAGATGTCCAGACAAGGTAGTTCTAGAAATGAAGTGGGAGATGATATACCCGCTGAAAGCAATAATTCACCTGCCTTGGCCAGGCAGAGTGAAGAACAGACACCCTCTGGAGTGCATGTGAATGATCAAGATGTATTCTTTAGAACTTTAGACGTGGTATTGATGCGTTTTCAACCTCTTGTAACTTCAACTCCAAAAATGAATGTTGCGAAAGAGTTGAAGGGATTAGGAGCTCCAGAGTTTAGAGGGGAAGCCGATGAAGGTCCTGTTACTGTGGACCTTTGGCTTAATGAAGTGAAGGTCATGCTTACGGGACTTCATTGTTCCGATGCTGAGAAGCTAGATGGAGTAATTTCCTTGTTGAGAGGACAAGCAAGGATCTGGTGGACCAATGTTACATTGAGGATGACTAACGCCCAAGTAACTTGGTCATTGTTTTTAGAAGAATTCAATCATAAGTACATCGGAGATCAATTTGTTCGACAAATGAAGCAAGAGTTCATGAATCTGAAGAAATGAAATGAAATCACACTGTGTATGAGTACGAGTGTGAATTCAATAAGTTGAGTCGTTTTGCTGTCGAGCTTGTTCCTACTGAGAAAGATGCTTATGAGTGGTTCGTAGAGGGGTTACGTCCTCGGTTGAAGGAGATGTTGATTGTATTAAATCTATCCTCGTTTCAAGAGGTAGTCAATCGGGCCAAAGCTTTAGAAAGAGCTCAGAATGAGAGATTTGAAAATTCAAGGACTCAAACAGTCAAGAGAATGGGTGCTTATTCGAGTTCCGCACCGTCAAAAAGAGGCAGAGATGCTGGTTCTCGACCTCAAGCTAGATCGGAGTCAGTGGTATCCTCAACTAGAGGATCAAATCCGATGAGAGGCAGACAAACTCAATCAGCAAGATCTGGAGCTGGGAGATTTAACCAGAGTCAAGATAGATAATGCCAACATTGTGGAAAGAATCATTCTGGGATATGTAGAAGGATTTCTGGAGCTTGCTTTAGATGTGGGGAGATCAGACATTTTGTTCGGGATTGTCCTAGAGTAGTCGATGAATCTGCACAGCCAGAGAGGTCTATTTCTACAAGCCAAAGGGGAAGAGGTAGAGGCAGAGGAAGAAATCAGTCAGAGTCCTCTACTCAACAAGAGATACGTTCCACTGCTCGAGTGTATAATCTCAGGACCAATGAGGATCGGGATGACCCGAAGATTATAACAGGTACCTTTCTGTTGTTTGATAAACAGGTTATGGTATTGATTGATACGGGTTCTACATATTCATACATTACTAGTAAGTTAGTGAGAGAATTGAACATTCAATTAGAAGCTACTAACAATGAGGTGATAGTAACGAATCCGTTAGGACACAGTGCTCGGGTAAATATGGTGAGTCGAGGGTGTCCCATACGAATTCAGGGAATTGAATTCCCTGCTAATTTGATGTAATTACCTTTTGAAGAATTTGAAGTGATACTGGGAATGGATTGATTATATCGTTTATTATGCTAATGTTGACTGTAGACTGAAAAGAGTAACGTTGAGAAGTCTATAAGAGGTAGAAATCGTGGTGTTTAGTGAAAGGTGGAATCCATTGGCAAATGTGATCTCAGTGATGACGGCAAAGAAGTTATTGTTACAAGGATGTCAAGGGTTCATTGCTAGTGTGTTGGATGGAAGAGTCAAAGACAAAGAGATTGAAGAAATTCCTATCGTTAGAGAGTTCTCTGATGTATTTCCTGCAGAATTGCCAGGTTTACCTCCGGACAGAGAGGTAGAATTTCAGATTGAGATAATGCCGGGAACAGTGCCCATTGCAATGGCACCATACAAGATGGCTCCAAAAGAGTTGCAAGAATTAAAGATTCAATTACAAGAATTGCTGGACAAAGGTTTTATTAGACCAAGTGTATCACCTTGGGGAGCTCCAGTTTTATTTGTTAAGAAGAAGGATGGTTCAATGCGTCTCTGCATTGACTACAGACAACTCAATAAAGTGACCATCAAGAACAAGTATCCACTTCCCCGAATTGACGATTTATTTGATCAATTAAAGGGAGCTTCAGTGTTCTCAAAAATTGATTTACGTTCGGGTTATCATCAATTAAAGATTCAAGAGAAAGATATTCCAAAGACGACGTTTAGAACAAGATATGGTCACTATGAGTTTATCGTAATGCAATTTGGAGTTACGAATGCACCAGCTGCTTTCATGGATTTAATGAACAGAATTTTTCAACCCTATTTGGATCAGTTCGTGGTGGTTTTCATTG